GGGGACACGGTGCCATCTCCCCAGGGCCCTGCAGCTGGTACCTCCCGGCGCTGCTTCTCCTGCTGCTCCAAGCCCCGGATCTTCTGCAGGAACTGGGCCCGTTCCTGCCGCAGCCTCACGATCTCCTCGTAGGCGTCCCGGTCCTCCTGCGGGTAATCACAGAATCGTGGAATCCCCCGAGCTGGAAGGGACCCATGAGGATTGTTGGGTCCGACTCCTGGCACGGGACACCCCAAAAATCCCACCGTGTGCCTGAGGGTGCTTTCTGACCCCAGGGAGAGAAGGAAAGGCTCTGGCAGGGCGAGAACCCCCCGAGGCCAGCACAGGGGTGCGCCCTGCAAGCGAGCCAGGTGAGGACCTGGAGCTAAGGGGGACCCCCTCTCACCTGGCTGAGGGTGCCCTGGGGAGGCAGAGGGGCCTTCCTCTTCCTCGGGGTGCTGCTCTTCTCCCTGACGGATGACTGGCTGGGGGAAGAGGTCTGTGGAGACACCAGGGCAGAGGGGACATCACACCCACGGTGACCTCCGTCCTCCCTGGCCCAGTGCCACCTCAGAGAGCCCCGGGGGACCCCCTGGCAGAGCCTCACCTGGGATGTCTGCTCAGTTGACTCCTCTTCTGAGGGGCAGAGCGGGAGGGAAGAGAAACAGGAGGGAAGTTTTTAGGGGACCAGAGCCCGTGTGGGTGTGGGGACACTCAGGGGACACACACATGAGTGCACAGCGTTCAAGGGGACACAGACAGACAAATACAGGGATGTACACGGGTCTGAAGGACAGGGATGCAGTGCAGACACAGGGAGACACATGCACACACAGACACGTGTGAAAACACCCATGCACTGAGACCCCCTCACGTGCAAACACGCGTGAACACGTGTGTGCAAGCACGTGCAGACACCAAGGCTCAGCACCACCTCAGCTGGTGACAGCACAGCCAAAGGCAGCCCTGGCACCCGGGAGAAGGGGCCATGTGCCCCCCAGCCTCACCCAGCCTCCTCCATCCCCGCCCCAAAGCGCCCTGACGGTGCCAATCCCCCCGCAGGGTGGTGACCCCCTCGCGCTCCATCCCCGGGGCACAGGGAGCACCAGGGTGCCACGGCTGCCTCACCACTGGCCCAGGAGCGGCGCTGAGCAGCCTCCTGCAGGAAGTGCTGGATGAGGGCGTTGCCCGTGGCCAGGCTGTAGTGAGCGGCGTCGTGGCCCGTGGCGTCGACCACGGCCACGCGGGCGCCGGCGTTGACCAGCACCTCCACGGTCTCCACGCTGCCGCTCTCACAGGCCAGCATCAGGGCTGTCCTGGGCACGGGGGGACAGCAGAGGTGAGGGGGGCATCCCCTTGGTCTCCACGTGCCCTCCCGGTGCCCGCGGGCGCGGCCCCACCTGCCCTGCAGGTCCCGGCTGTTGACGGCGGCGCCGCGGTGCAGCAGGTACCGGCACAGCTCCGAGTGGCACATCTTGGCAGCCAGGATCAGCGGGGTGGAGCCATCCTGGGCAGGGCAGGGGGGGTGAGGAGGAGCAGACCAGGCACCGCCTGATATCCCTCCCTCTGATTTCCACACCCCGCAGGCACAGCCTGGCACGAGGAGCACGAGGAGCAGCAGGACCTCACCTTGTCCTTGATGTTCAAGGGGGCCTTGAAGTCACAGAGGATCTCGGAGCACGAGATGCAGCCGCTGACGGCTGTGGAAGGGACAGAGCTGAGCACTCCCTCCCCGGGGACAGGATAGGGTGGCACTGTCCCCACTGTCCCCAGTGTCCCCACTGTCCCCACTCACCTGCCAGGTGCAGCGCGGTCCGGCCGCTGCCATCAGCCACGTCCACGGGGCAGGAGGCCTGAGGGACAGAGCCTGGGTTACAGGATGGGGACGGACGGACAGACAGACAGACAGACAGACAGACTGCTCAAGGGGATGTGGTTCTGTGCCACGGGGCAGGGCAGGGCACAAGCTGACAGATTGCTTGAGTGGGCATGGCTGCTTGGCACAGTGGATGGCAAGGGACAGACAGACAGACTATGGCTCTGTGACACAGTAAAGGGCAGAGGACAGACAGACAGACAGACAGACAGGGGTTCCATGGTGTGGTGGAACACAGGGGACAGACAGATAGACAGCCAAGTGAAGGACAGGGGACAGACAGACAGCCTGTGGCTCCATGGGGGGACAGGGGACAGACAGACAGCCTGGTGAAGGACAGGGGACAGCCAGCCAGCTGTGGCTCCATGATGTGATGAAGGACAGGGGACAGACAGACAGCCTGTGGCTCCGTGGCATCGTGGAAGGCCAGGCAGGTGCCAGGCAGCACCACACAGAGCCAGGAATCATTGTGCCAGGTCAGGGCACTGGTGAGGGAAGGGGGTTCAAGGACAGGGAGGACACTCCACTGGCACAGCACCCTCCTCCTCCTCCTCCCCTCCGCCTCCTCCTCCTTCCCTCCCTCCCTCCCTCCCTGCCTCTCCCCCTGCCCCGTACCTGCAGCAGTTTGCTGACACACTGAGGGTGCCCGTGCTTGGAGGCCAAGTGCAGGGCAGTGGAACCTGGGGAGGGACAGACAGACAGGTCAGAGCACAGACAGCGGGTCTGTGGCACAGGGAACAACCTGGGGGACACGCAGACAGATGGGCACACGGGCTGGGCACACAGGGACATCCCCAGGAGCCTCATTGCTCAGTGCCTGAGCTCCTGGTGTGGCCGTCACCTCTGTCCCCTGGGGACAACCAGGTGGCCCTGGGCGGCCCGTGGCAGTAGCCAGGGGCACGTGGTGGCCCTGCCCTCACCCGAGCTGTCCTTGGTCATGGCATCCACGCCGTGGGCCAGCATGGCTTCCAGGCAGTCCACGTTCCCCCGGGTGGCAGCCAGGTGGAACCTGCAGCGAGACCGGGGGGCTGTGGCACCGTAGCACTCGTGTCCCCCGGCCCTGTCCCCGGGGTGTGGGGTGGCACTCACGCGGATTTGCCCTCCGAGTCCAGCTTGGTGGGCACCAGGCCCTTGCGGAGCAGGAGCGACGTCACCCGCCCGGCATCGTTGTAGTCCACGGCCTGCAGGAGCTTCTCGTCGTTCTTGGTCCAGTCCTGGCTCTGCAACAGAGCCCAGAGGAGGCTGTGACACTGTGACACTGTGTGTGTGACACTGTGTGTGTGACACTGTGTGTGACACTGTGTGACACCATGTGACACTGTGTGTGTGACACTGTGT